GAGTTGAATTGTAGGACACCCAGCTGACGTCTGAGAAACGCTTGTTGGTGTAGGGAAGCCTCTAGATGTTGCAGTTGGGTCTAGGAACCTAATTTACCTGTACAAATGATGCAGTCAGGTCTTTCCTACAGAAATAATATCTCTTGCCTATGAATTATATAGATTCCTTTTACATATTCTAGGAGACTGATTTTATTATTATTATATAGTCCTAGGTAGTTAAGGCATCAAGATAAAATGTTGGTTACAAAATAACCAATGATTTTATGAAGATATACTATATCTGCTGCCTGATTGCAAACTTGTGGATGACAACAGGGTCCCTTTTGATTCAAGTTCATCAAAGCTGGTAGGCACATGTGGAAGGACACTGGAGTTTACATATCAGGATAAGGATCAAGTCAAGAACAAGAAAGTCAACAGCCATGGCCAGTAACTCTAGAATTTTGGGGCTGAGGTAGCTGAGATTGAGCCCAAGTCAGAGGCAAGGGCCAGAATTTTCCTCCAAAAGGTATTAATGTTGCAAATCAATTAGTACAAAACATTCTACTAGTTTTGAAAATCAATGCCCCATCCTAGAGTTGATTCTCCAGAAATTGAGAAATTGTTTCTTGAAGAGGATGGAGTTTTCTTCTGACCATCTCATAGAAACAAAATCTATTTGAAAACATCCCTTATCTATAGCAAATAATACTTTATGTTCTGTGTTTTAAAATTTTAAATGAGATTTATATCTCTTGCAATTCCTCAACCAAAGGATCCAAAACAAATTAAACTAATTTCATTTCTATTGATTTAATTACTTCAATGATCCTCACTAGAAAGCATGTTGTATATATGCTTATTAGAATAATTTAAATCACCTAAAAAGATATATTAAAAATATATTTTAGAAAACTGCTTATCAAAAAATATTCTGCAAAATTAACAGGGAATTGTCCTTTTAAAATGAATATATATTGTTACCAGCCAGTAGATTTTATAATAATTAATAACATATTAAACTCATGAATAAAAAATACTCATAAAATCTATTATTTCCCATGGGTTTAAGATATTTCTTGCATAGAACATAGGACATATTTTCCCTTTCTCAGCTTAATGAAAACATTTTATATAGTAAAAGCATCATAAATAATGTTTAATGTGTCTTACCCAATATAGTTCAGCCTAGGAAAAATAATATATATTGTCAATAATATGAATATTTTTAGAAGCTACAATTTGTTTGGTATAGATGGTTAGTCAGTTTCTACAGCAATTCATTCCAGAACCTTTTAGAAAATTTTGCTGGGTTGATCTAAGAATTTATTAAGGACTAATCTGGTTGGTTTCTTGATATACAATTGAAAATTCCTCAGGCTATAATAATAGCTTTACTTCTTCCCCTCTTTTATTATTTTAACTTCAAATAAATGGTTAAAAATATAAGGTTTATCAATATGCTAATTTGTCATTAAAGTGATTTTCTGGCCTAGAGATGATTCTAAATTCCATGTTATTTATATCTCTAATCTTGTATATAGTAGTCATTTCTAAGGCCAACAGCATTTTCTGGTTATTCAAAACTAAAGAACTTAAGACAACGTAATGGTACTTTCATTCATGTATGCTAACTAGCCCTAGAGTTGGAAGACGTGTACAGTGTGCATAAAGCCGTAGAAAGATTCAGAATGTGTGAAAATGGAAAAATGTTTTGTGAGACTTTTAGTACATGAGAGCAACATCAAAATGGAGCAAAAACCATAAAGATGGTCATACTTCTAACGCAGTGATCTCACTACTGAGAAAAAATTAAATAGATGAGATATTGAATGCATGAGGATATTCCTAGCAATATTCTATAATGTGCAAATAATGGAAAACTATCTCAGTGGATAACAAGAGAGGAAGTAGTGATTAATGTGATAGCAACCTCTGAAATAAAATTTATGATACAATAACCTTTAAAAATAAGATTAAGTCATAACATAGAAAAGTTTATGATATAATGTTAATGGTTTCCACAATGTAATGACAATGATGTAAAATAGATACTAACATAAACAAGAATCAAATAGTCATATGCAAAATGAAAATAGTTATTGTTAATATTTATTATTAATTTTTAATCTTATCGATATGGCACTTTTTAAATTAAAATACAATAGGGTTACTTATTAATCATAGAATTTCTTTTCTAAGTTCTAGTAGATAGTGCTACTAAATCCAGTTGGAACACTAAAAAGACTTGTGGGTTTTATTCAAGTTAGGTGTCTTGATGAATCATTACCACTTGGTGATTCGAAGATACTTCAAGTCACCTTCCGAAGGGGTCTAAAACAATAGGAAATGAGTTATGAAAGCAGAAACACCCAGCAGAGTTTTTGCTTTTTTTTCAGGTGTACATTTTGGCTGTTATGTTCTTCCAACTCATTATCACGAACCATTTCCTCAACCATTCTTAGAATGTTGAACATGTGCTGTATATTTCCACAGCACATCTTCTAATCCCAATTATTAGGCTGATTCATGAATCAGATAAGGAAAGTATTAGAGATCCAAAGGCTGAGGTTTCCAAAAAGGAATTAAGGTAAAAATCCAAGTAAATTAGGTAAGAGGTAAAATCGAAGTAAATAAAAAAAAAAAAAAAAAAAGAAATTCTGTGGCGAAGGTGGCAAACTCAAAGTTTACAGTAGGGAACAGAGGATAACAGAAATGAGCGCAGCAGGCTGGGTGTAAGTAATAGGGAGTGAGGGGGACTGTGGCAAACTGCAAAGCTTGCCCTGTTTAAAAGCAGCCACTACACAGCTCCAACAGGTTGCTGACATGCATGAATGCAGACCGAGGGCTGCCAGATATTCAGAATCATTCAAGGGAGTCTATAAATATAGATGTTAATGTGAAATCTCTTAAGTTTCTAACTGTTGACAACTAACTTGAATTAGTTTTAATTTTTCATTCCCTGTGATGGCCTACTAATAGCTGCCTTTGGGTTAATTTTTTTTCATGGACCTCCTGTGTGCCACCTCTGACCTATAGTTAGCATGCAGGGATTTCTCAAAAGGAAGACCTTTATTTGCTGGAAGTCACATTTTCAACTGAGGCCCTTCATAGGAGGAATTAAAAAAAAGACAAATGCAAAACAGTGAAGCTAAAGTAAATTGTGAGCATATTGGTACGCATAAATCAATAAGGCCTTGCAAACGACAGGAACATTAAACTAAGACCTAAATGTTCCTGAGAAGCAAAACCTTAGAGGATTTTACTTTTATCTTCTCTATGATGATTGAGGAGACATTCTGAGTCACTACAAAAAGAGATTAGCCCCAAAGGCTTTTTATAAAGATGGCTCCCTCTACTGAAATTACATTAAAAATGATCAGAACAAAATGACAAAATTTGACCAAATTGGAATCGCTATGAGCTACCAAATTGCAAATAGGATCCAGGTGTGTGTCCTGCATTGCACCTGTTGCTTGTCTCCCCTTCACTTATCCCATTCCTTCCAACTCTCATTTTCCATCCTTAGCTGTTAAAAGGAAGTCCTTGGCGATTCCTCGGGACTGACTGGCTGGCTGAGCAAAGAAGGAAACAGGAAGTTGAGTGGAAAGGCATTTTTACTTTAGCTGTAGGAATTTACCCTTCATCAAAATTAGACTGTACGGATGGGTGGGTATGAGTGGGAGGAAGGAAGGGGAGAGTTGTCTATTACACTGATCATTTGCATCACATGCACCCAAGGAAAAAATGTTTACCTGGTGGAGCCACGGTTAACCTTTTTTCCTTGCTGAGCCGGTGCCCTTGGATGAATTCACTCATGGAAGGGGGGCCCTTCAGAAGAAATGATTCTGTGGAGGTGGGATCAGGGGGAACTCTTAATAAATTCTGTAGGTAGGAAGCCCCTGAAGTCCTGGGACGGCTCTGATCACAAAGGGAAGGTGAAAATTGTCTTGCAGGAGATCCAAGAAAATACATATAGGAAACAAAAAAGTTTTACTTTAATTACCTTTCAAAGCCTCACCATTGACAACATTATTTATATTGGCATTTAAATTTTTTAACACGTAAATCAAGATTTTTGCTAGTTGTTTAGTTTCCATACCAGGATACAACCCTATTTGGAAACTGTATTGGACACTGGAAAAGAGATTTATTACAGTTAGTAATAGAAAATATTTATATTATTTGATTCTTTACTGAAAGCTCCTAAAATAAAAATTTTACCATTAACTGTAAATACAGGATAAGTAATTGAACATCCAGGACTCTGGAAAGAGGTCACAAAATAATCACTAAAAACCTTACAAGTGATTTTTTCGAGTAATAGTCACATACCAAATGAAAAAGCACAAAAACCTGCTTTTAAGAAAAAGACTATACACATTCCATTTCATTTTACCTAAAGACAGACATCTCCTTTCAGTCAGTCATCAGTTTTGGTAATATGAACAAAAGTTCCCCTAAGAGAACATACTCATATCCTTGCCCCGTTAAAGAAAAGCTGGTAAATAGCACCATTACCAGAGGTACAATGACTTAAAATTATCACCCATCTAAAACATAACTTCATTCTTAATATCCACCTTTTATCTACCAATTTTTAGGCTGGAGGTAAGGGAGAGGCATATTTATGGATACAAGGAACAGCAAAAATGTTGACAGACACTTGAAAATTCTATTATGGTTCATCAAGAGGTAGGGTGTGGGGGACAGAAAGGAATAAACAAACACAATTATCAAAAGGTTTTGATTTGGAAAAACCAACATTAGCAAGGCCCATGTATACATCCACTCCCAGTTTTTCTCTTCCTTCCCTTCCTCCATCCTCCACAATACGAGCACATTAATTTTTGCAGTTAACTAAAATCTGGCCACTGCACCATACTATGAAGATCGCTGCATGCATACCTTTTCCTCTGAGTGCCACTGCTGACCCGAATGTTGGGTGTCTGTGGGCCCTGACTATGCAGGAGGTAAGTGTCTATGGTGGGCACGGTGACTGATGCTTCCCCACTTACTTTAGGGCTGCCGATCTTGCTCTTCCCAAGTTTGCCTTTGCTGCGCCGGGACTGCTCATGGTCAAACTCTAAGTCCTCCAGCCGCTGGGTCAGGGCGAGTTTTTGCTGGATAGCCATTCGTAACAAAGTGTTTAGAGTCTTCTTCTCATCCTCTGCAGCTGCTAACTGTCTCTGCATCTCATCCAACTGGGTGACATATTCATCACATCTGGAACCCAAACCGAAGAGTGGTCAGGAGAAAATCTTGGTGAATCTGAGTTTGGAACTTGAGTTGAAAAGTAATGAATTTTACTGGAATTTAGATATTTAGAACAGGTCTTCCTAGAGCAGAACGGAGGTACTATTACAGTAGAAAATTGGAAACAGTAGAGCAGGTTCAATAACTGATGGTTCATTATACAATGGAGTACATACGGGGGCATTCTTAATAGGCCACATCTTAAACCCCAGGGACAGAATTCTTGTGGGGGCTGCTCTATGGGGGCAGAAAAATGAACAGTAAAGTCTCAGGTAATGTTCACAGCATCTTAGATGTGTTACAATAGCTTTTTCTACTGTGTAACGTTGTATTCTTTGGAGAAATGTGACAAGTTTGTTATAGGCTGTCTGCAGAATGCAAAAGAATAATACTGTTTATAAAGAAAATAGTTCCTTCTTTATCTATATTTATAGGTTTTATTTTAATAGAGTACAGACGGCAGCTGCCACTGCTTTCAATATGGCAGATTTGCCTGAATTAGAAACCCAAATATTTCCAGTGATTTCTTAGCCAGATGTTAAAGCAATAGGTGTCAAAGAAAACCAAGATTGGCATATGGTTTGATACAGATAGAGCAGGCTGTCAGGAACATCTTTATTCAGGTTTGATACTTGTGCTGCAGCAGGAAGATAAGCTCAGTGATCTTTTCTCCTCACCAAAAGTAAAACCTGAGCAAATGTACATTTGGAAGGAAGAATAATTCCCACAACTATTCAGCATCTTTTTCTGAGTTTATTTACTCACTATGATAATAACAACAAATACTCTTCATGTCCCAGCAGATAGTTAATGACTTTATGGAGTTATCCAAAATGTATTGTACAAATTAACAAACTGTACAATACATTTTCAACAAATTGAAATTAACACAAGCCTTGTGGCATTTTAAAGAAAAAATAGACAAACTACAGAGTTTTTCTCAAGAAAAAACTTGAGATTCATGTGGGTCCCATTTTCTTTAACTTTGGATGTCAAGAGGCATAGTAGGGATACTGCAAGAAAAATCAAGGCTTAGTAAAATACAATGTGGATTTCAGGACCCTGGATTTGTTTTAATTGGTCAGATAATATTTTCAAAAACACTAAGGCATAAGGCAGTTACTATAGCCAAAAAAAAAAAAAAATTTCTGTGTAAATGCAGTATTTGGGGGTAATAATTCTTATATAAACCAAATTGAGATTTTAAGTGGCCCTTTAAAAATGTTTTGACTTCTTTTTCAAAGAGGAAATGATATGTTTTCTTGATTCTACATGTAATGCTGACTGATTTCTTTCATCAAAGAGGCAGGTATTGTGCAACATCTCCATTTTCTATCCTGCCCCCCACAGCAGCCAGAGGTGTGCATACTCTACTCCCCAAACTCCCCCTGCTCAGAAGTCAGTTCCCCTGCCCCACTGTGTCCCTTGGGCACTCAGCCTCTTCACTGTCATCTCCAAGAGAGTCAGTCACAAAGTATGAGCTTAAGCTTTTCTCTCCTGATACACAAAGGAAGCTGGACAGATTCCAGGGCTCCCCGAAAACCTAGGACTTTTGTTTACACTTATATCAGCTACACATAAATTATTTACTGAATCTGCAAATAAAGCCATCATTATGCTTTGTGAATTCTGTACCAAGTTTACATCATATAAGATATATAATTTTTTGTTTTGGCATTGAATAATGACAGCAAAAAAGGGATTGCAACACTGTATCGAAAAATCGCAGGATTTTGAAACCCTTGAATCAATACATTCTTAACAATCACTTCAAGTCTAAAAACAAAATACAGTGGCGCTTCATAATGAAACAGGTAGGGGGAGGTAGTAACTAATATTTGTCTAATGAATTAGTTGGGCAATGTAAAAAATTTGGTGATATATATAATTACGTTTTAGAAATTATAATTTAATTCACAGTGTATTAAAGTCTAAGTAACTAGCTGATATGATAAATATTAATCTTCATTATGAAGGTATCTTCCTCACACAATATTTACTAGTGATATGCACTTTATGTACTTTAATCACAGAAATAAATTTCAGAGCCGATAATATAATATTTAGATATTTTAGGAAATGGGTTTTTTTCCTCTTATTGGAGGGTTTTTCTTTTTTTGGTCTAATTCTTTTGGGCACATCAGCTCTAAAATATCTGTTATATTAATTTAAAAACACTTCAATGTAAAAGAGTTGCTTGATCCAGTGTGTCCAGTAGAGGGCTCAGAAAAACGGCACAAAAGGTTTTATCTCAGATTTGTCAGAGTGGAATCTCATATGTTTTCTTCACCTCTTGCCCTTTTAGACAGCATGCCAAATAACACTCAGGATGCATGAAGATGCACATGTGAATATTACAGTCTTTTCCCCATGTACCACACCTAATCTTGAAAGAAAAAACTGTTACCTTGTTGCAAACATTGCTCTCAGGGATGAGAAAGTTGCTGCATCTTCTTTCAAAGCCTTCAGTTCATTTCTGAGTTTCGTCATAGTTTCCGTCACCATTGCCTTTTCATTTTCATATTTGTTCTTGAGATTAGCTAACGCCACCTCAGCTGTCTAAAGCAGAAAAATCACAATGCTTACCATTTTCATATCAGGAAAACCGACCATACAGACTTCTTCATGTTGGGTCTACTACTTTCTTTTATAAATGGAAAGTGAAATTGATTTGGTTAAATTTTATATAAACATATACATGTACTTTGGACATAGTGTAGTTTTCTTTTCATGTCAAAATGTGTTGTGAATCCACAATGTGGTTAAATTGCCCTAGAAGCCAGCTGTGAACCAGACTCAGCATCAGGAGCTCAGGGAATGATAGTAGTTCAGTAAATATTTAATGCAGATTGTTGAGAGTGTGTCCTTTCAGACAGAAAGGGAGCCAAAATGAAACTTGATACAAGAAGGATTTTATCAAGGAGAAACTAGTGAAAAAGCACAGCTTCCAACTGAAATGTAATAGAATGCAAACATTCTTGTGTCACCATGCTCTGTGGGCCTGGAACATATAGGATAAAAGACACAGTCCATTGCAATTTACAACATGAGTATACGAGAAACCATAAATCCATATTATATGTTTAAGGAAAAGAATTAACAAAGGAACCAATTATTTCCTAAGTCTTTGCATACAACTTCTTCAAAACAATGAATTATAGTCTAGTTGTTCACAATCTTCATAAAAGCAGAGATTCCAAAATGTTGAATGAATTAAAATATTTGTTTGAATTGGGGATTTGGGCATGTCTGAAGTTCTTGGAATTGAGAGTGTTTCAAATTGAGAACTAGCCTGACACATAGTAGAAAGTGAAAAATAAAACATTGACTGAATCAATGCATAGAATCAACGTATATTTAGGGACTGCCTGCTCGATGCATGGTATACATATTGAAGCCAAACTGGAAACACACCATTTTTACAAACTGCTAACTACAGCTTTTCAGAGTGTGTAAAAATATTTAATGCTAATGAAAAACTCCATTGTTAATGAAAAAAAATCCATTGCTAATGGGATTTCCCAGGAAGGCTACCCTGGTTTTTAACATTTCTTTTTGTGCTTGAAATGGACAGCTTCAACTTTCCTATGCAAAGAGCCAACTTCTATAGAGACATACAGATTCTTTTTTAAATTAAAACAACGTTGGGATAGGATAGTTTGTTAACATTTGGATTCCAAAGTAGTTTCTTATTTGTTTTGATTGATTTTAAATTCAGATTAAAATGAGAAGTTACTCATAAAACACTTTAGTATGTTCTGTCATGCTATAACTCAGTGGAATCTTCAGAACTATTATAGATTCAGAGAATTATCCAGCATGCAGAAATTGACCTGGGGAAAAATGGCAGTTGTTTAATTTTTTAAAAATTTAGACATATATTCATTTAGAACAGATAAATTTAAGTTGTGAAAATGTAATGTAACAAATTTGTAAGCACATGGAGCCACATGATCGGTTACCCATGGGGAGGAGAGGAGAGGAGGGAACGACAGAGAGCAAGAGCTGAAATAGAAGTACAAACGCATTTATTATTTGTGATAAATGCCCCAAAGTACCCAGCTTTGTCTATAGATCTGTTTCTCCACAGGCAGCACAAACCTTTTTCAGAATTAAGAAATTCTAGGTATCTATAACTCGGTAGTAGATTTGCTGATGTCTGCATTTTCCACATTCTCCACACTCCCAAAGTTGAATTTGTAAATAAAAAATCTTGTGTCCAGCCACAGAGATCTTCACAATCATTCCATGAATATATCATCCTATTCTGTGCCTTTCTACTTACTATTCTTTCTGTCTGGATTTATTTCCTCCTCTTCTGGAAAACAACTCTTTATCCTTTAAGAACAAACTCAAGTATAACTGGTTCTGTGAAGTTTTTTCTAACTCCTATAGGAAACATTAGTTACTTCCTCTGCAATGTTCCCATAACTTGGATTACAGCATGTATAACATCAAACTGTAATTAATCTGTTTCTATTCTGACATCCCTACTAGTCTGTGAGTCCTCTTCTGGAAGGCAGGGACCATGTATTAGCCTTCTTTGAATCTCTAGCATCTAGCAGTTTGGTACACAGATGGTACTTCATAAATATTTGCTTATTTCATCAGAAGACACTGTGCCTACAAAACAATCCTAAAGTATATTAAAAGATTCATAAAGAATGCAGAATGCCTATTTTAAAACATGAAGATTCTCTTTTTTTTCTTCTACGACAGAATTCTTACCTTAGCCTCGATGATAAACATTCCACGATGTCTAAATATAATGGATGTCATCTGTAGATACCTGAAGCTATTTACAGCACATAGGCATCACAGCAATAGGCCCAACATCATTAAAATGCAAACTAAATGCATGGCTAGAAATGTGTTTTCATTTAATTTACTGAGACCATAAGGGCTGTGATGCTAATGTTATGCAAATGGTACCACAAACCACTGTGAAAATAAAAATGTAGCCAGAATGCTTTGTACTGCTCTGAATTCCTATGGCACTGTTTATATCACTCTGAAGTGCTTGATGATAATTATACGCATGTGTTAAACTCCTACTAGATTAGTAGTCACTTATTTTTGCATCCCTACTTACTACCTGCCATGAAATACGTAATCAATGAATGCTTGTTCACAAATTAGTCTCTCTTGGCTGATCAACCATGCTTATCTCTACTTCTGTGTCAATGAAGCATCTTGACACTTTTATAGATCTAGGTTTCTAGGTTGTTAATATTCAACCTTCAGGAAGAAGTCAAAGAACTTATTAGAATGGCCTGACCAAGAATGACCAAGATATGTTCTTGATAAAGGTTGTCTGAGCTTTATCTAATCACGGTATTGGTTATTTCTGATCACTCTAAATCACTGGGGCTTTGGATGTAGCAGAATTTATGGTAACAAATCTCTTTATTTTGACCTCAAATTGGAGTCAGATCTCTCACAAATTCTTCATTCACCCTAATATTTTCTATTTCCCTGAAGTGATGGCACAAAATAAGGTCCTAATTCTGGCCATAGATTTATAGAAAACATGTTTATAGTGCAAACAATATTACTGCTTTTGGTATAGATCTCCAAATTCTATCAATGAATTTATGGGACCTGAAGATAAAGATGCTAGAAAGCTGCACTGTAGTTGACATAATAATGGTTTCCCCCAGAGAAGGACAAAAGGAGAAGGAACTCTGAATCTGACATTAACCCTCACTCTCCAACACTAGCACCGCCTACATTTGCAGGAAGGTATCTGAGGCTTTGTACTTCTCATCAACACCCTTTATGCAGCACCCTTCTCAAAAGTATCCTTCAAGGCTCACTTTCCAGAGAAACTAAACAGAGGTTAAAAATATTTTCCCGGCTATATTTCATAGTACTCCCACCCAGGTAAAGCTCGAGGGTGGAAAACAAACCCAGTCATCAAGGAGATCTAGGAATCAGTCAAGTAGGGTCATGTTGTAGCATTCCTACTTATTCCAGAAGGACAAGATCTATGGTTAGGAAAAATTCTCTACTGCTTAAGATGTGACCCAGGTGAATTAACATCCCTACTGAACCTAAATTTTATACGTGTGGTCACTGGGAGAGCTAGTGCACGTTCTCTCTCTCTATCTCTTTCTCTTTCTCTACCTCTCGATCTCTTTCTAGAAAGCTCCCCTCTGTTTGTTCTAGCTGCCTGCCTGGGTGCCTTTCTTTCTGTATCTCCCTGGTGTAAGCCGCCATGCCAGTCTATTCTGCCATCCCTTGGTCTCCTGTTTCCACACTCAATGACTGCTGCTAAGTACCACTTGAACTGCCTTTCTACATCTGCAACTGCATCTTCTTCTTTGTTCCTGCTTTAACTTCCTCACCTTTGCCTCTATCTAGTGGGGCATAGCTACTCTCCTATTTCCTTCATTCACTCACTTAAAAATAATTATTACATTCTGATCTGGCACTGGGACATAGTTTGTTTTCTTCCTCTGCTGACCAGGAATCTGAACTTTCATCCTGATAATAGCGGACACTCAAAAACATGAAGGGATAAACTAGTTAAGAAAGCGTTGCCTAGCATGCGTTGCCAATAGAATGAGATCACCTGTTTGTTGGCTTTCAACACGGCCCTCAGGGTGGCGATCTGCTCCCGTTTGGTGCTCAGCAGGGACTTGAGCTTGAGGATCTCTTCCATTAAGGCTTCCTTGTCTTTATCAATCATGGGGGCCAGCTCCTGTGCCGCTGCTCTTTGACGAGACAGTTGCAAGGACCGGTCCACAGCTTTCTGCAGATGCTTGATTTGGTCCCGAATTATGGCATTAAGGTTGTAGATATTCATTGGCTCTTTGCGGATGTCACTTGTATCCAATACTGGAGATGATGGTGGGGCAGTAATAACAGGAGAGATTGTGGGGGTCTTGGTTGGACTTGGTTCTTTGCTGGCCTCTGTGTTTTCTTTTGGAACTGGTTCAGATGAGGTCCTTGTTTCTACTGGGGATGACACCCCCCGCCTGGCTAACCGTGGAGACAAAAGTCCCCTGGGATCATCGGGTCCTTTCAGGCTGCCACTACGGGTGACTCTGCTTTGCCTATAGTAGTCCAGCATGACCCTGTTGGGTGTTTCATTATTACACAGACATACATGGTGATAAAGCTGAGCTAGCTCCTCACTAAATGTCACCAACTCATCCTGGGCTGTATTAAGGGTATTGTGATTTTCGTTAGCTATGCCGGTCATCTTTTGCAACTCCTTCTCCATGTGGGCCATCTTCTCTCCACTCTCCTTGGTGGTCTTCTCAAGGCTTGTAACCTGCTCATCATACATTTGGATCTTACTCTCATACTTGGCCTTCTCTTCAGTATAGTTTTCTACAGATTTATTGTATTTCTCCTTTAAGGTCTTAATTTCAGCTTTCAAATCAATCACCTCAGTTACTGCCACCCTGTATTTGCACTCAAGGATCTCCAAGCCATTGATGTCCACCTCGTAGTCATGGGCCTCCTCCCCTGAGTCCCTGCCCTTCTCCCCATCCAGCTCGGCCTTGAGCTCCTTGCTGCTCTGCAGGCCCCTCATGGCATTAACGTGCTCCGTAAGGCGGTGCACCCGTTCGTGCTGCTCTGTCAGTGCGCCCTTGGTGTGTTCCAGCTGCGTTTGTGACTCCTGGAGATTGGCCAGAAGAATGGCCTTTTCTCGCTCTACCTGCAATGGCAAAAGAAAGTCTCTGAAAGACTTCAATGCAACGCCAGTGATGACCTTAATCCATTCACAGTTGGGCATGTATACATTTAAAATAACCACAGCAGAGCCAAGTCCCCATTATTTCAAATTAAATTGCAGTGTTTTTTCTTATTTCAGCAGTTCTGGTGAGTCAATCAATCTAAAAGTACCTCATTCTAAAAGAATTACGATATGCATATCTACCCATTCAAATTTTCATGCATATACACATACACTCATGATACTTGAATGTTATTCAAATAATCTTATTTTTATCTTTTAACACCTTGCAGAAAACAGAACATGATATCATGATATACTTTATTTCGAGAGCCTTGGAGTATATCTGCTCCTTAGTTCATGTGGAATAAGTGACTGTCTCGAGGTGCCTATGAATCATACTTTTCTTCCCAGAGCTCAACCCAAAATCAGGTTTAAAACCTAAGGCTTTAACTTACTAAATAATGCTGAGAACCTTAACCATCCCCTTAAAAATAAGCAATTAATCCCCACAAATAGACATGCACTAAATTTAATAGCTTTTAATATAAAAGTCAGAGAATATAGAGTTTTAGGGATAAAAGAACAATTTACAAATCATTTCAATTCTTTCAATCTGAAATAGTAATTTTAAAAATTAGCAATTAATTTGAATAACGAGACAGTTTTGTTATCTTATAGGTGCTAAGTATTATTCTATATTGAAAAATATTCAGGTCTCAATATAAAATACTGTCTTATTAAACATAAGTATATAAGAAATTGTAATATGAGAATTTTTAAAACCATTTTCTGTCTTTCCATACAGGTAATCACTATTATAAATTAAGAGTTTTTACAAGCTTTTAATGTAAATATGTTTTTCCAATAAGCAAATAATATTGTTTACATTTTAAAGCATTTTATAAGAGATATCATATCCTTCTGCACTTGCTTTTTCTTTTCTTTCTTCTTGATTTTTAAAGTAAACCATCATGAGACCTATTTTAAGGATAACGGATTGATATTGAATGTCCTTACATCCAAAGGAAGTTATTAATTCAAGCTTGCAAACTTTCCTAGATCATACATTATATCCCTCTAAACTCGTCTAAATTCCTAAGAGGCAAGTAAAATTCACTACATAATAACATCATGACCAGTGACCAATCACATCACTTCATTCAAAGTCTGTCAGTGATTGGTGACTGGGTATCTGTTATTCAATTCACTCACAGACAGCAAAGCATGTAACTGCATTATCTTCTTGTCTCCCAGTGATAAACCCACATGATGGTCTACAAAAATAGACAATCCAAAGAGGGAATTGGGAAAAAAGGAAGGAAGGAAGGAAGAAAGAAAGAAAAGAATGAGCAGCAAAGAAACAAAGAGTGACAATGTTGGAAGTGAAATCTGAATCAAAAATAAATGGAGGGCCGGCCCCGTGGCTTAGCGGTTGAGTGCGCGCGCTCCGCTACTGGCGGCCCGGGTTCGGATCCCGGGCACACACCAAGGCACCGCTTCTCCGGCCACGCTGAGGCCGCGTCCCACGTACAGCAACTAGAAGGATGTGCAACTATGACATACAACTATCTACTGGGGCTTTGGGGAAAAAAAAGGAGGAGGATTGGCAATAGATGTTAGCTCAGAGCCAGTCTTCCTCAGCAAAAAGAGGAGGATTAGCATGGATGTTAGCTCAGGGCTGATCTTCCTCACCAAAAAAAAAAATAAATAAATAAATAAATAAATAAATAAATGGAGTTACAGAAGAAATAGAGGAATGTGGGAATGCTGACACTGATGTTGTTTGGACTTTAGCTCTTGTCATCATTTGGGTAACTGTGGTCCAATTCTCATGACCAAAATGCTTCTACGTGGTAAACACATCTGTTTCACAAATTTGTATCTGTATGTGCAAAAGCAGTTCTTTCATTTCAGAGTTAGGATATATTTGAATACAAATCCTCTTAGCTGGGTTTCATTAAATACAACAGAGTGTATCTCCATAGCTGAAGATGAATTGATATATCCAGACTATTGGGCAATAACTTTAAATGAGAAAGCCAGGTAATTATGTAATATGGTATTTGATGAAAAGTCAAGTCATCTGAATTTTTGATAAGGGAGATGGAAAAATCTCCTAATATTCTATTATTGGTATTGTATACAATCTCAATGAAAATGGATTCTTTCAGGAGTTTTTTTGTTTTCTTTTTCCCTTGAAAATTAAGCAAATTTGCTCTGAAAAGTCTAAACATCACTTGATTAGTCTACATGATTACAACAAACAAAGCTATTTTCAAAAAGCCCTTTAATAGGAAAAGCTTTGGATAAAATAAAAATTGAACCAGAACAAAATGTACTGAATGTGTCTCAAGCTTGTTTTAGAGGCAAAAGTGTTATGACGAATGAGGTAATGCCTTTAGGAGAGTTTCCCATTTGTACTCTGCCAATTACAATTTAACATAAACATTTTCTAAGCCTAAAAGGATAAGTCTAGGGGCCGGCCCGGTGGCGCAAGCGGTTAAGTGCGCGCGCTCTGCTGCGGCGGCCCGGGGTTCGCTGGTTTGGATCCCGGGCGCGCACCGACGCACTGCTTGGCAAGCCATGCTGTGGCGGCGTCCTATATAAAGTGGAGGAAGATGCACACAGATATTAGCCCAGGGCCGTCTTCCTCAGCAAAAAAAAAAAAAAAAAAAAAAAGGGGGGTTGGGGGGGTTTTACCCAGGGGGGTTTTCCCCCAAAAAAAAAAAAAAAAAAAGGATAAGTCTGTCAGTTTCTTCATGATAGCACCTCCAGAAAACATCAAATAGAACATTGTCTCTTTCGTGTGTGTATGCTCCATATACAGTACTAATTTCCACACTCAATACATCTCTAGTGGAATCATTTGAATAGAGAATGATATCCAGATTTTATGCATACATACATACACATATACACACACACACACACACGTGTGTGTATGTATTTCTTCCAGACAATTAAGGTTGTTCTGCTCCCTCTAAAAAAGATAACTAAATTGTGGATAATTTTGTACAATGCCAGCATTATATTTTCACTCAGCTGCTGGGGCTTGGAGTACCTTAAATTGTATTTGGATTTCAGAGAGCAGTGCTTAAACTATTTAAGATACATTGTGCTGTGAATTAATAAATGCAAAGCACTTTAAAGATTAAAATTACTATTCATTTTAAGTGTACTACTTTAATCTCCATTTGTGAAGAACTTATCCAAGGAGACTTGCTGGGTTAATTATAATCTTCTATAGTGACTTAGAATAGTTGCCTCATTTCTCTTCCTATAATCTTCATCTTCTATCTGGAACTGAGGATTTTATTTTTCATAGCAGGGCCGGTTGTTTTGCCAGAAAATCTGAATGCAGAATTTGTAAACTCTTCAGTCCAGTGTAAGTATACACTATATGTCAGTATTATTATTCTTGTTATTATGTCCCATTGAAATTACTTTTAATTTCACTGAATGTTTACCTTTTTTTTAATTTTTATTTATTTATTTATTTATTTTTTCCCCTGAAAGCCCCAGTAGATAGTCGTATGTCATAGCTGCACATCCCTCCAGTTGCTGCATGTGGGACGCGGCCTCAGCATGGCCGGAGAAGCGGCGCGTCTGTGCGCGCCCGGGACCCGAACCCAGGCCGCCAGCAGCAGAGCGCGCACACTCAACCGCCAAGCCACAGGGCCGGCCCGAATGTTTACATTTTAAATAAACACAGGTACATATATTGAGTACTGACAGATTCTTTTGTGAAGAAACAAATGAGAAGATAATCAGGATTTGCACATTTATATTAGGACTTCTATAGGAAAAGAAATCAAAGCTGTTTTATAAGCTATTAATTTCCATAAAGTCTTTATCCTGATCATCTGACTCTCAATTTGACACTTGACTAATTGGTGTGATTCCTGTAATGGTATACATAACATCAATATGTACAAATAAAACTCAGAAATAAATGATTTATTCTTCTCTGCTTGAAGTGAAGCAACTCTGATAATGCATATCTGTGCCCTGACAAATGAGAACTATGAAAAAAGATCAATCTAGAACTAAAAAACACTAGGTAAGGAAATCCAAAAGTTGGAAAAGAAGGGAGTTTATTTTGGAGAGTGTGGCGAAAAGAAATCCTTCTCTCTCTCACACATACACACACACACACATGCAAAAGTCAGTTAGCTGGACAAAGGCTCAAAAAAAAAAGAAGGGGAGGGACCCTTTTCAACTCATTTTATGAGGTTCATGTTACTCTGATAACAAACCCAAAGATATTACAAGAAAAGAAAACTACAGACCAATATTTCTTATGAATACAGACACAAAAGTCTCCAACAAAATACTAGCAAACTGAATCCAGCAACACACAAGAAGGACTAGACAACATGACAAAGTGAGATTTATCCTACGAATGCAATGTTGATTTAACATTCAGAAATTAACAAATATAATACACTCTATTAATAGAGCACAGGACAAAAACCACAGGGTCATCTAAATAGATGCAGACAAAGCATTTGACATAATTCAATATCCCTTCACGATGAAAATGGTCAACAATCTAGAAACAGAAGAGAACTTCCTCAACCTGATAAAGGGCATCTACGAAACACCCCAAGATAACATGCTTAAGGGTGAATGCTTTCCTCCTAGGACCAGGAACAAGACATGGGAGTAGGATGATCGCTCCTGCCACTTTTATTCAACACTGTACTGGAAGTTCTAGCCAGGGCATTAGGCCATGATCCAAAGGCAAATAATCACAAGTGTTGGCAAGGATGTGGAGAAATCAGAACCCTTACACACTGGTGGTGGAGATGTAAAATGGTGTAGCTGCTTTGCAAACAGTCTGGCAGTTCCTCAGGAGGTGAAAAATGGAGTTACCATATGACCCAGCAATTCCACTCCCAGGTATATACACAAAAGAATCAAAACATACGTGCATGCAAAAACCTGTACATGAATGTTCATAACAGTATTATTCATAA